TCCTACATACACGTTGCTGAAGCGGTTCTGGATGAGGAACCAGTGAAGGAGTTAAAATAAAATTCTCCCAACGTTTCTTCACTCTACCAAGGAATCGACCCGGTTCGCTGAAGCAGCTGAACTGGGTCCCGCGGGAGAGAAGCAAGCAGAGTGAGGTGAGAAGGAAGTCAGATCAGCTAAATAGAAGTCAGCGTGTTGTAAACAACTACGCTAGAACGGCGAGCAGCGATCTGGTGAAGCCACGTTTAGGTTCCTAATCTAACGGTCGAGACAAACTGTTGAGCAGAGGAAGAGCGCTACACGTCTTTATTATAACAACACTGCAAAGATGCTACAGTCACAAGATGATACTATCATGGCACCATGGACACGCTTATCTTTTATCATATACTGCATGTGAAATTCTGTTTTTTTTCTTTACAAAACACCTAAAAAAAAAGACCAATCACTTAAAATAACGCCCAGTTAAAGTCCAAACAAATATAACAATCGGCTCCTACAGCGAGCGGCGAAGGGAGACCGTCGGTTTCCTCCCTGAGGGACGTCTAATACATTACAAACAGATAATTGCGCTGTCAGAGCAGCCGTAATAACGTCTAATTACCTTAACTGGGCAGGAATCATTAGTGTATCAGCTTCCCCGCTGCAAGACATAGAAGCACAGATTTCCACAGCAGCAGCAGCAGCAGCAGCAAATCACATCAAGTAGTTTAATAGAAGCCCCTTCATGATATGAGCATATATGAGAAATAATGCACATGAGCTTCCTTGAAAGGGCCGACACATGGTAGATAGGTGAAAGCATTTAGTACATACACTCACACACACACACACACACACACACACACACACACACACACTTTCCCTCCGTGCGCTACATGACCGAGCAGGTGAAGCCGCAGCAGTCTTTCAGGAGCGTCAGTCCGGTTTTAGTGATGAACGGTGCTGTCGTCTGGGACTTGGACGCCACCTTTTGACCTTGCAAAGCACCTGAATGAAAAGAAGACACTTATTCACCACGTTCACGCTCAGAAGTACTTTTTTTGGTGATGTACACAACATTCAGAAACAAATCCAGCCAAAACCATTAGCCAATGCTAGCACTGTGAATCCAGTCCTCCAGTCTGTGAGTGTCTGTTTCACTGTGAGTTCATGACCATTAAACAGACGTTCGGAGCTGAGCAGACAAAGCAGAGTGAAGGAGAAGCAGCAGATGACAGTGAAACAGCAGTAGAGGCTGAGTCGAGGTGAAACTAGTGCACATAAATGAGGCTTAATGACATAATACTTCACAAAGCAATAATAATCGATCCCATCTGAGTGCCTGTCTGTGAACAGTCTGTAGCTCAGGGGTCTCAAACTCATACGATATTTTGTGGCCCCCTACTTGACATCAGAGTCTAAGTTTAGCCCTGGGCATCTTATATTTTTTATCACTCGTGGGCTACTGTAGCTCAGACTCGTGATAGCAATGCAGATTAGCAACGCTAGTCACTTGAAACATTCAGGAGTGTCACCGAGTGGAGGGAACATATACCCAGTGTCACCCAGTGTAAAGGCATGTTTTTGTTGTTTGTTTCTGTCTGTGTGAGAAGCTCTTCTCCACCATGAACTTTAATAAGTCAAAGCACAGGTCCAGACTTACTGCTGAGCATCTTCAGACCACACTGAGGGTTTTTCCTCCCTCAAGCCAAATGTGGCTCAGCTGGAAGAGGAAGTGCTGCAGGTCTCTGGTAGCAAGGAGCAGGTAAGAGTTCTGGATTGTTATTAATAAAGATTGAGAAGATTGGATCAGTTATACTTTTTGTGGAATATGTGATGCGACCCAACCTCACCCAGACTCAACCTCCAGCTGCCCCGAAGTAAGGTGAGTTTGAGACCCCTGATCTAGCTCAAGTGCTAAGGTCTAACAAGTTGATATTTACAGGTGAGCTAGGAACTGATTAGATTTTGGGGTCAATCGGTGCAGCTATGGCTCCACTAGAGGTCAATGGTCACTTTTTCTAAAATGCTGTAAACCTTCAGAAGGATTAGATTAGATAGAGTTATGGTATTGGGTGGAGATAAGGAACCATGTTGGGGCTTTCTGTTGGTGATGTTACATTTGACCTTGGATGATATTTCAAGGTCATACTGCACTGTCACTTGAAAACGGTGTGAGAAAGACACAGTGATGTTTCAGAAACTATACACAGGCTTGTCATTGGGGATGTGACATGTGACCCTTGGGTGATAGTTCAAACTGAAGTTTTTGATATTACCGTTATATTTTAAATAACATGTATACATGGATAGTACCTGCTTCACCTTGGACAACCAGCCAAGCATGATTAGTAAGAAAACACCTGTTTTGTGGTACTTATTATGGACTAATGGTTCACTGGGGCTCAGTACAATCAAGGCCTGTAGAGGCAACTCTATGAAGCTTTTCTATGGTGTTTATTTTTTTTATTGAAAAATTTGCACTTTTGAGATGTGAGTATAAATATTTAACTATAGCAGCATATTTTTCCTGCAGGAATTCAATATACTTACTTTTAGTATTTAACTAAACCACCTCACTTCCTTCATCCTCTGAGACACACGTGTTATGAGTACAGACTAATGGCGGCCACAGAGGCTTGGTTTTAATTGGAGGCCTGTAAATCCCACCTCTCTGCTCAGACTCACCTTTAGCTGCCAGTGCTTTGGGAAATTTGGCCTGTAAGAAGGCGGCCATCTCTCTGTCTTCCTCTCTCTCCCTGTGGACAAGAACAAATCCTTGTTTTCTATAACGTGAAGTCGTGATCCTTTGGATTTTTCTACATCTTGTTAAATGTCACTGGGCTGTATTTGAGAGAAACCCGGGCTGCCGGCTGGACCGACACGTCCTCGGGGGAGAATTTTAATGTCCTGTACATCCTGTGAACGCTGCCGCTCCACAGTTGTCCCTTCATTTCCATTTTCACGTCCTCATTAAATAATGAAGGGAGATGGCCTCTGCTATCTTGTTGTGAACAATCAAAATGTCACTCAGAGAGATTTCTTCTCAATAACAATCGGCTGCTTATCGCCAGTGACAGCTAATTCAGAATCAAAAACAAATAACGAGGAATGGTGGACGTGCTGTTATTATTCAGGGAGACTATACACAGAGGATGTAAGGATTCAGAGAACAGAGCTACTGAGACCAAAGCAGAGTTTTAAAAACAACTTACTGGATCAGTAAATAAGAGTTTAAGATGGACAGTCTGCATTGTGTTTTCTGTCCCATAAACTTGCTCAAAGCTGACTGTAAAGGTTAATTTTCAGAGCTAAATCACAAATCTGAAGCAAACATCCACTGCCTCATAAACAGACGACGCTGTACGAACAACGCCACACGTTCATTGGCCTCACCTCAACCTCTCAAACTCCACGTCATCCACCAGGAAGTCTCTGGTCTCCACCAGCTTGTTGATCTGCTGCAGCAGCTCCTCCTCTCGCTCCCGATCCTCTTTGGACTTGTCTTTGTCTGTACA